ACATATCCGGAAATGGACCAGACCACATCAGTCTCACTTCAGTCCAAGACCAGGCGACAAGCACCTTATCCTTATCCATACCAGGCGGCCAAGACTTGTCATTATCCTCCCTTGTATTTATCCATATGTTGTAGTTATCCTAATCATTATAGGATTAGGATAATCATCCCCTTTATTTGTAGCAATCCTTATCTCCTAAAGAATATGCTTTATTCTCTTGTATGTATATATATATGTGTAACCACGTGATTAATAATACAATGAGAGTTACAACCTTCTTCTTTATTCTTTAACAGTGGTTGGGTTTTCTTAATTAATCATTGTTAGCTGACGTCAAGTCAATAATTAATCAGCTGCTTCCTTTTCCAAGAATGAAATGGTTCACACGTGCTAGCAACTCGTGTGGCTTTGCAAATGCTCTTTTGTTAATTTTTTTTGTTGTTATTGGTTATTTTATTTCACCTGATTTCTCTAAAATATACTCTCTCTCTTTTAATATAAGTGTCACTCTACAGCTATGCACACGGATTAAGGAAACAATTAATTTTACATATTTCCTATATAAAAACACAATTACCCACACACCTAACCATATTTTAACCAATAGAAAAACAAATTACATAATAAAATTAATAAATTTTGTATTGAAAACCGAAAACGACACTTATTTTATAACACAAAAAATTCTCTACAACGACACTTAATATAAAACGGAGGGAGTATATTAGGATGTCACCAAAGTTCAGAGAACAAGGCTCTCTGTTAATCTCTGTTCCATTATTTCAGGGGAATTGTAGACATTTATGGAATTCAAGGAGTAAGCTGAAAATAAAGGAATAAAATGAGATAAGTTATGTAAAAGGAGTCGATCAAAGAATAAACTGACAAGGTAAATAAATAAAATATTTTCTTACTCAATTTTAATTAGTTTTAATCTGCTAAATTTTAATGATAAATGTAGCCGACACAAACAAACAATATTGAAGTAGTTCGAACGTCCTTTTTTAGCTGTCGATTCACTTGAATAATCAGAAATTAGTGAACTAATCTCCATATAATCATGTGATTAATTTTAATGAATTTTTAATTACAAGAAGAAAAAGAAACTATATACTGTTGTTTTCAGTCAAAAAAAGAAAAGAAAAAAAAAACTGAATTTCTGATTTGGCCCCTAAACTCTTATTCATTTCCAATTGTTAGTAACATCTACTACAGCCAACCACATGATAATCCTCGCAAGGCTTACTCGAACTTCAAACCAACTTTCATTCCTCTGCTTCAAGCTTTAACCAAAATTTTCTAGATGGCACAGATTCTGATACACAAAGCATCTCCTCGTTGAGCCAACGTCTTAGCGAACGCAAACACAGCGTCCACGGCTCTCTGCTTCTCTATTACAGATTCTCTTAGGAATTTGGCACTAGCTGGATTCTCTGAACTGAGAGTGAGATGACACTAATCTTTGAGTGACTTTTTTTGTATGCGACCAATATAATCTTAGCTGGGAACCTAGCAACGTGTACAATGTGCTATAATCTCACCAAAATTATAATAGTTTATAAGTACACAGGCTCTTAAATGGCGTATACCATCTACAAGAAACACAAACAAAAAGAAAACAGCGCAAAAGTAGCTCTCTAGCGAAGTTTATTCGGTTATAACATTCACAAGTATTGAGCTTCAAAGCTAACCTGCATGCTTTTCAAAACCTACACTAGCTATACAAGAAAGACCATATATAGAAACATGGAGATTTAATCTTCCTTTTAGTAGATTTAATCTTATTATGCAGCGATAAAACATGACAGATAAAAATTTAAAGATAGAGAAATGACATAAACAGAGACTGGAAAAAAGAGTTTCTTATGGTATTATCTATCAGCCTTTGCACTTGTAGAATATACCAAAATGTAACACTACACTCCTTGTTTCATCACGAATTAAGAAGGCTTTGAGAGTAACAAAGGGATCAGATTTCTACAAGGCTCTTTCCGTGGCTGAAACGAAAAAAAAAAAAAAACTCTTTTATACAGCATATTAATTATATACAAAATGATTTAGAATCATGTAAGAACAAACACTTTAAGAATTAACATTGCATATACTATTCTCCTGTGCGAGTCATTTCAAGTTAACCGAGTCAGAGCTACGCAAGGTGAGAGCAGAGACAGATAGAGAGAGGTTACTGTTTCTCTAATTTATCCCACTTCCACCGTACACGTGTCCTTGATGATGATGCCCCATCACCATCCCACCGTACATCCCTCCTCCGACATTATATCCACCTCCTCCACCGCCAGAGCTTCCATTTCCTCCGCCGCCGCCACCTTCCTTATCACCCGGTCTCCCCGTCGTCATCCTCTCCCCTTCCAACTCCCTATACTTCTGCAGGTAAACCTTCAACGGCTCAACGTAATCCTCGAACCCTAGCGTCGTCATCGCCCAGAGAAGATCGTCGCCATTGATCGTCTTCCTCTTCTCTCTCTGACACTTATCGGACGCCTCTCCGGTGACGAAACTGATGAATTCCGATACGCACTCCTGCACAGTCTCCTTGGCGTCCTTGGAGATTTTCGCGTTCCCAGGCAACGCTTTCTTCATGATCCGGCTCACGTTCGCGATCGGCAGAAACCTATCCTGCTCACGCGACGACGCGATCCCTCCACCGTCCTTGTGACCGCCTGAATCGTTATCGGAATCCGCCATCTCAGATCGAACGGTAAATCGGAAGTCGCCGCGAGAGAGAGAGAGTGTTTTGAGTCCGTTGGATTGAGAGGATAATAATCGGATCCGTGGTGACACGTGAGTGAATAGTTATATGATCGTTCAATTTGTCGATAAGATATGTTACACGTGGCTGTGATCCTATCCGTTGGTTTGTTAACTGAATCAAATGGATAATTTTCTTATTGTTCAAAACCGGTCTCAAACCAAACCCAATTGAGTACATCTATAAAAAGTAAACCATCCACTTAAACCAAGTGACATTTTAAGTTAAACCACAGATTTAAACCGGTGACATTCTTTGGTAGACGAATCGGTGACATCATTCCGCGGTAATTCATTACCAAAAACCCTGGGGTTGCTTGCTCTCTTTATCTCTCTCTTGTAAGAGGACTACAGAAATCACTTTCAAATCCCTAAATCATGTAAGTGTTGGACTCAGTAAGCATTTTCGTAACAAGGTTGGAAACACGAACTTCACTCATCTCTTGTTTGTGGGTTTCTTACTTCAAAGTTCACTCCTTTGTTTAGATCCTGTTGTCTGTTGGATTTCATGCTCTTACTTGATATCTGTTTTGTATACCTTTTTTTTTTTCACAGTGGTACTGTTTGTTCAGGCTAAAAAAAAAAGCTTTGAGCTTTTGTCTTCTTAAAAACATACGATGGACTGTTTTAGCAATCTTCCAGACGAGGTTCTTTGTCATATACTGTCTTTTCTTACTACTAAGGAGGCTGCTTTGACCTCGATTCTTGCCAAGAGGTGGCGCAATCTTCTCGCTTTTGTACCGTGTATTATTATTGATGACACTGTATTCCTTCATCCTGAAGAGGGTAAACAGAACAGGGAAGAAATCAAACAGAGCTTCATAGACTTTGTGGATAGAGTTTTGACGTTGCAGGGTAACTCTCCACTTACGAAATTCTCCCTCAAGTGTGTTACTCTAGCTGATACGGATCGTGATCTTGTGGATGGCTGGATAAGCAATGTGTTAGCCCGTTGTGTTTCGGAACTTGATCTAACGATCATTATTGACAAAGCCGAGTTATATCAGCTGTCTCCAAAATGCTTTGAGTGCAGCACACTAGTTAGTCTGAAATTACACCGTCTGATTGATATTTCCTTGGTTGCTGGTCGTGTTTTCTTACCGTTGCTTAAGACTCTGATTCTTGACTCGGTTGGTCTTTGTCCTAATGGGTTTGAGATTCTGCTTCGTGCTCTACCTTCCCTTGAGGAACTGCTTCTGACTCGTGTGTTGTGGAACGGTATGGATGTCACAGTGTCAAGTGCAACCCTCAAGACCCTAACAATAAATTTAGGCGAATATTTAGACACTTTATCATTTGATACACCAAGTCTCGTTCACTTTAACTACTCTGGTTATGTTGCAAAAGACTATCCAGTAGTTAATTTTGGAAACTTACTTGATGCTCAAATCTTCTTCCTCGTACATGATTTCGACCTCGAGGAACTTAGAGAACCAGATGATGGTTGGTTGAGCGAAACAGTTTCTCTTCTATGTAGCAATGTTTGGAAACTCTTTCATGGCATACAAAATGTCCCGAATCTTGACTTGTCTCCTGATGCTCTTGAGGTCAGTTTTCTCTATCTCTCTCTCTCTCTGGGGAATATCTTACTTTCTGTATATGATTAGGTTTGTAATCCTAAAATGACATGTCTTGCTCTCAGGTGCTTTTTCTGTGCTATGAATCGATGCCAGGGCTCAACAGCCTCAAATCATTAACTGTTGAGGAGTAACAAGGATCGAGGATGGCAAGCAATGCCAGCTCGTCTAAGGAACTGTCCACTTTTAGAAACTCTTGTCATTAAGGTACATAAAAAACAACTCTTTTGCCACAAACATGTAACAATCACTTATATAATATTTGAATCTCTTTAATGGCGTCTCCTTTGTGCCTTATAGGGTCTCATGCACCACCATGTGACAGACAAGTGTGGGGATGTTTGTGACTGCATTTCTCGGGAGGACAAAAAAGGACTTTCACTCACACTTTGTCCAGTAAAAGTGATAAAGATTCACGGGTTTCAAGGAACAACGTAAGAGATGGCAATGCTAAAGCATTTTTTGGCCTATTTTCCATCTTTGAAGAAGATGGAGGTCTATGCTAAAGAGAATAATCCTACACTGCTAGGAAAACTCAAAGTTTCTAAACGTGTCTTGGAGATGTTTAAACTCTACAACAGGTTATCGAGTGTTCGAGTTGCAATGTCCAGCTCTGTATGTGAAGTGGCTGAAGAAGAACAAAACCATTCTCTTAGTTTCGCCTGCAGTTTTTAAGTTGTGTTTAACTGTGGCTTGAATAGTAGAACTGAACCAATTTCAAGAGTGTAGTTATTGTTTTTGTTTTTGAGAAGAGATTGGCAAAGGCTAACTATCATCACACTATCTTTAACTGTTTTATGGATATATACAGTTGATAATTCTATTTGCACCAAAGAATCGTTCACGTTCACCTTTTATAAATTAATTTCTATTTATTTCTGGTACTTGTCTGAACATACATGTAAAATCGATCAATGACTTTGAGTATCCTTTGGCGTATCGCTTCAAATAACTTGTAACTCAATGGTTGACCTATTTGATATTAGCAGAATGAAGTAAAAAAAAAAGTTTTATTAGAGGACTAATAACATGATTTGTGTTCAACCTCTATCTCCTTGATATAACCAACAAACAAAGTCCTTAACAAAAACAACACCAATAAAAAAAAAAAAAGACAAAGAATCACAACTATGCTTTAAGCACAAGCAAGAATCTCATCATTTCAGTTAAGTGAACTAAGAAACTCAACCCAAATATGTTCAGCTCTCTTAGTCGTCTCAAGAGCAAACTCCTCAGCAGCTTGCTCATCTTTGGCCTTACGCACAGCTACATGATACTCTTCATAAGCCTGAGTAGCCTCCTTAAGAAGCCGTGCTAGACTACTCTCCGTAGACTTAAACTTCAAATCAACACTCACTTTCTCTGCTTCAAGCTTAACCAACAGTTTCTTGATAGCAAAGATTCTGATAGACAAGGCGTCTCCTCCCTGAGCAAGACTCTTAGCAAACGCAAACTCCGCGTCCACGGCTCTCTGCTTCTCCATGGCGGTTTCTTTGAGAATCTTGGCGCGGGTTCGAGCGAGGTGGACTCTCTGAGAAGCCTCGAGTCCTTCTTTAATGACGGTTTTGTATTTGGCTAACAAAGAGATGTAACCAATGGAAGCTGAGCTGAGTACCTCGTAACGTGTACCGGCTTCTATAATCTCGTCGAAGTTGGGGTGGTGTACGAGGTCACGAGCAGTTAGGCCGCGTAGCTTCTTTAGGGTTTGCTTTAAGCTCTCTATGCTCTCTGATGTAGCGGATGATTCGCTTGCGGTGGAAGTAACTGATGTGCCAAGGACTGTGCTTACCTTTGGGGTTGTTTCTTTTCTATGAGTGTGAACAAGATTGGTTAGTGATGTTGTGAGGCTAGAGGTCTCTGAGTCCTAACAAAATCAAAAGATGTAACAAAAAGTCAAGAAACTGATTTTAGATGTTTTGAAAGTAAAATTTAAATAACAAACCTGTGATTTTGATTTTTCAGCGAGTATCTCGGCTATGTTAATGGAAGAATCAGTGTCTGTTTTAAGACCATATTTGTCTTGGTTGAAACATCCACATACACCATCTGCAAGAAACAAATACAGAGAGAAGACTGTTAAGAGCAGCTCTCTTGTGAGTTTCTTTTGGTTTAGAATATTCACAAGAATGAGCTTGTTAGTTAACCTGCAGGCTTTAGAAGACTGTCAAACCCACCTGTAGAATAAAAAACATATAAAAAATGAGACTTAGTTTCCTTTAAAAAAATATGTTTGTGATAACCCTTACCGTTGAATCCGCCATAAGTTTTCTGCACTATACTTATGGTTGGTGGACTCTTTGCAGATGCTGTGATAACAAATGTAAGTGTTGTCTCAGAAACAAAAAAAAATTGAAAGATATAGACATGACATAAACAGTCAAAAGAGTTTCTTACAGTCCTTTTCAGCAGCATTTGCACTTACAGCTGCTGTACATTAGAAGTGAATAAGAAAACCAAACCAAACTCTCAGATTATATAGAGTAAACTTCTTGTTTGATTATGGATTCCAATGCTTGGTTGTAGAGATTACCTTCAAATTCACGTTCAATTGCTTCCAACATACTGTTTCTTTGAGTTTCAGCTGTTAACAAGAAGAAGGGAAAAAAAGGTTTACAATCTGTTCTCAGGAGGCTTTGAGAGGAACGAAGGTAAGAGATCGTTATTATTACCTTGTTCTTCATGATTCTTGATCTCTGCAAGGCCTCTTGTAGCAGCTGTGGAATATGAAATATGATATATAAGCAAACTCTTTCTGTAACAAGTTTATTTTGTTTCAAAATTACCTTCAAACTCGCGCTCAATAGCATCAAGCATACTCTTTCTCCTAGCAGCTGCAACAAAAGTTCAGACATTCAGGATACATTAGAAACAAAAATGGAAAAGGAAAAAAAAGGGGAATGATTTTTACAGTGTTCATCATCATCATTGTCTTGGGTTGAATCACTAGCCTTTAGCTCTTCAAGACCTTTTGTAGCAGCTGCAAGTAAGAACATACAAAAAGAAAGAAAAAACTTATCTTCTAAATATGTTTTAATGGATTTACATTTAAGTAAGAAGTTCAGTGTTAAGTTAAAGTAACCTTCAAACTCGCGTTCGATAGCTTCAAGCATGCTATTTCTCCTTGCATCTGTAACAAACCATTCTTCAGAATACTTTGGAATATGCAAATAGATCAGAAAAGAACATAATTAGGAAAAGTTGTTACTATGTGCACTATCATCTCCTTCACTGAAATCATCAAGGTTTAGTTTCTTAAGACTACTTGTAGCAGCTGCAAAGTAACAGAGGAAATGATACAATATTTAATATTGTATAACCACAATAGCTCATTAACATGGATAATAATATGTAGAAAATACCTTCGAATTCACGCTCAATCTCATCCAACATACTTTGTCTCTGTGCAGCTGATAACAAAG